GAGAAAAGATTGAAATTGTCAAGGACTTCATTCTTCTTGGATCAACTATCAACACTCATGGAAGCAGCAGTCAAGAAATCAAATGACATATTGCATTAGGTAAATCTGCTGCACAAGACCTTTTGAAAGTGTTGAAGAGCAAAGATGTCAGCTTGAGGACTAAGGTGCGCCTGACCCAAGCCATGGTAATTTTTAATCACCTCATATGCATGCGAAAGCTGGACAGTGAATAAGGAAGACCGTAGAAGAATTGATGCTTTTGAGCTATGGTATTGGAGGAGAATATTGAAAGTATCATGGGCTTCCAAAAGAACCAACAGATCTGTGTTGGAAGAAGCGCAGCAAACTCTATCTCTCATACTTCAGACATATTGTCAGGAGGGAACAGTTGCTGGAGAAGGATATCATGTTTGGTAAGGTGGAGGGTCAGAGAAAAAGAGGAAGACCCCCAACGAAACTGATTGGTTAAGTAGCATCATCGATGGACTCAAGCATGGCAACAGTAGTGAGGTTGGCCCTGCATTGGGCAGTGTTTCATTCTGCTGTGCATAAGGTCGCTATGGGTCGGTACCGACTCGATGGCACCTAACAATAACAGATGATTTCCACATATGTTGAGTCACCTTCTTTGGAATAGGCACAAATATGGATCTCTTCCAATCAGTTGTCTGGGTAGCTATCTTCCAAATTTCTTGACATAGATGAACGAGTGCCTCCAGTGCTGCTTCAGTTTGTTGAAGTATTTCCATTTGTATTCCATCAATTCCCAGAGCCTTGTCCTTTGCCAATGCCTTCAATGTACCTTGGACTTCTTCCTTCAGGATCATTGACTCTTGATCACATTCTACCTCTTGAAATGGTTGAACACTGACCATTTCTTTTTGGTACAGTGACTCAGTGTATTCCTTCCATCTTCTTTTGATGCTTTCTGCATCATTCAATATTTTGCCCATGTTGTTGTTGATAAGTGCCATCGAGTTGATTCCGACCCCTAGCACCCTGTATAGGGTTTCCAAGGAGCAGCTGGAGAGCTTGAATCACCAATCTCGCAATATTTTGCCCATAGAATCCTTCAAATTCAAGTAGAAGCCTAAATTTTTTTCCTTGATTCTTACAGCTTGAAAAATGTGGAACATGTTCTTCCCTTTTGATTTTCTAACTCTAGGTCTTTGTGCACATTTCATTTTAATATTTGACTTTGTCTTCTTGAGCTGCCCTTTGTAATTTTCTGTTCAGCTTTACCTCTTCATTTCTCCCATTTGCTTTAGCATCTCTACGCTGGAGAACAAGGTTGAGAGTCTCTTCTGACATTGTTTTGCTTATCTTATTAATAACATTTTACATTTTTCCTGTATGATGTTCTTGATGTCATTCCACAACTCTTTTGGTTTTCAGTTATTAGTGTCTAGTGCATCAAATCTGTTCTTCAGATGATCTCTAAATTCAGGTGGGATATGTTCAAGGTCATATTTTGACTCTTGTGGAGCTGTTTTCATTTTCTTTAGCTTCAACCTAAAGTTGCATATGAGCAATGGATGGTCTGTTCCACAGGCTGCCCATGGCCTTGTTTTGGCTGATGACATGGAGCTTCTTCACCATTGACACATATGTAGTCAATTTGATTTCTATGTATTCCATCTGGTGAAGTCCATGTGTGCAGTCATCTTTTATGCTGTTTAACAAAAGGTCTTTGCAATGAAGAAGTCCTTGGTCTTGCAAAATTCTATCATGCAATCTCCACCATTGTTTCTATCACCAAGGTCATATTTTTCCAATGACTGATCCTTCCTCTTTGTTTTCAACCGTTGCATTCAATCACCAGTAACTATCAATACATCTTGGTTGCATGTTTGATCAATTTCAGAATGAAGAAATTGGTAGGATTCTTCAGTTTCTTCATCACTGACTTTAGTGGTTGGTGCATAAATTTGAATGATGGTGGTGATGGTGGTGGTGGTGGTGGTTATGTGCCATGGAGTCGGAACCGGCTCATAGCGACTCTGTACAGGGTTTCCGAGGCTGTAAATCTTTATGGGAGTAGAAAGCCTCATCTTTCTCCTGCAGAACAGCTGGTAGTTTCAAACTGCTGACCTTAAGGTTGGTGTTAATTGGTCTTCCCTGTTTGTTGTTGTTAGGTGCCATTGAGTCGGTACCGACTCATAGTGACCCTATGCACAGCAGAATGAAACACTGCCCAATCCTATAGGGGTATGGATATTATCCTATCACAGACAGTATTCTTCTTCAAGATAGATCTTGAAATGTTCTTTTGATGATGAATGTGACTCCATTCCTCTTCAATTTGTCATTCCTGGCATAGTAACCATGGGATTTCCAGATTCAAAATGGCAAATACCAGTCTAAGGATATCAATGTTAATGCATTCCATTTCATTTTTGTCAATTTCTAGTTTTCCTAGATTCACACTGGTACGTTTCATGTTCCAATAATTAATGGATGTTTGCAGCTGTTTCCCCTCATTTTAAGTTGCACCCCATCAACAAATGAAGGTCCTGAAGGTTTTACTCCATTCCTGTCCTCACAGTCAACTCTACTTTGAGGAAGTAGCTCTTCCCCAGGTGTATTTTGAGTGCCTTCCAACCTGAGGGGCTCATCTTCTAGCACTATTATTTGACAGTATTCTGGTGCTGGAGTTGTGGTGTTGGAGGAGAATACTGAAAATGCCATGGACTGCCAAAAGAACCAATAGATCTGTTTTGGAAGAAGTGCAACCAGAGTGCTCCTTGGAGGCCAGGATGGCTAAGCTTCGTCTCTCCTGGAAACTTGTCCGGAGAGAACAGCCGCTGGAGAAGGATGTCATGCTGGGTAAGGTGGAGGGTCAGAGAAAAAGAGGAAGATCCCCAACGAGACAGATCAGCCAGGTGGCATCATTGATGGTGTCAAGTGTGGCGGCGGTAGTGAGGTTGGCCCAGGATTGGACATTGTTTCGGTCTGCTGTGCATGGGGTCGCTATGAGTCGTTTCCGACTCGATGGCACCTGACAACAACAACATTCTGGTGCTATTAATCATGTTTCAATATTCAATATTCTGGTGCTATTTGGCTGTGTTTCACTGATATTCATAAGGTTTTCAGTGACTAAATATTTGGAAGTAATCCATCTCTTCTTTTTCTGAGTCTGTCTTAGCCAAGAGACTCAGTTGAAAAGTGTCTACCATGGGTGACCCTGGCGACATTCAAAATACCGGTGCCATGGCTTCCAGCTCACAGCAACATGCAAAGCCACCATAGTGTGACAAAGTGACACAGATAGTGGCAAATGGTAATGAATGTTATTTAAAATTATAATTCTGCCAGAGGGTGTTGTCAGGGAGAGTGGGTAGGGGAGCGGGATGGCGGGATGGCTGGGTGGGGCGGGAGATACGCCCGTCACTGAGGGGCGATGGCAGATTCTCGGTGTGCTGGCTTGCCTGGGTCCCGGTCGCTGATCAGGCGCTGGGCCTGCTCGTAGCACACATGCGGGTGCTGCTGGCGCAGGCGCAGGCGCACGACGTTAAAGTCCACGTCGTATCCCTTCTTCTTGCAGTGAAGGCCCCAGATGAGGTTCTTGCGCGCGGTCAGTAACTCCTGCAGGTTCTTTTCCATGTACGCTATGTGGCGCTGCAGCTTATCTGTGCCCTGTGGAGTTGGGAGGCCGCCGTTATGGGGTCCCGGCAGGCCAGGGCGTAGGGTGGACGTTCTCTGGGGCGGCAGACACACCCGGGCCTGGTGTTGGTGTGCGTGGGGGAAAGCCCCACCTGGGAAGGCACATGGCTGAAGAGAGGGGTCTCTGATGGGGCTGGGAGACACACCTGCATCAGATGTGCTCGGGAAAGAGCCCTTGTCTGGGAGGGGCTTCAGGGGGGGCCCAGAGGACCTGGGATAGGTAGCGCACCTGAGTAAGGTGTGAATGCAGAAGGCCAAGCTGTGTGTGTGAGAGGGGGGACTGTACCTTCAGGGAGCGGAGAGCGGTTGAGGGGACTTACTTAACTAAGAAGTGTGGGTGATGAAGTACCCTGGACGGATGACCTGGATGGGAATTCTTACCTGTGGTAGTTGTGTATGAGAAAGGTGCCTTGCAAAGGAGGGCCTATACCATGAGAGAGCTGGGAGGTACGCACCTGGGCAAGGCGCGTGGCCTCTGGGAGTTGGGTGCCCACGTGTCTCTGGTACATACGAACCAGGGGTCTGTCCAACTTCTCTCGAGTCTCCAGATGGCTTTTCGATAAGGGACCCTGGTGGACAGTGGTGTGCATAGTTGTGAGGCCCGCCTGCCCATGCACGCCCTCACCACCCCTCAGTAGATCCACTTCACCAAGCGCACCTTGATGATCCCACGGGTGATGTACATTTCTTGGTTGAATTTTGTGCAGCGGTTGATAGTACCCCTCATTAGTCCCAACGACATGTTCATTCTTTCCTGAAGACACATGGATGCAATCATGCTGGTTCCCCAGACCCCCTCCATTCTTACCTCTCCCTTCCACAAGCCTCCTCAGCCACGGCCACCTTCAGCTCCATGGTCTCGCGCATCTTCTGCGCCAGCGTGGCGCACACACAGTCGCTGACCTGCCGCTGTTGCTGCAAAATTTGCTCCTCATTCTTTGCCATGTCCACCAAAGTGTCCTTGGACTCCATCAGCAAATGCTTGGCTTCATGCAACGCTGCCGCGCACTCTGGGGGGAACGCAGGACACGTGGAGAGTGCCAAGTCCGCAGCCTCAACCCCTGGCTTTGTAAATCCCCCTCTCCAGTCTCAGTGACCCTGGGTAGGGGACTTTACCTCCAAGGGACTAAGGGTTGGGAGAAAGTCCAGGGGGAGGAGGAGTTAGTGGGGAGAGAGTGAGTAGCGTCTTAGAAGTAGACAAGGGGATTTGGGTTCAAGCGATGGAACGAGGAGTCGCTAGTATGGGAAGTAGGTCTGTGCAAGGGGAGGAGCTACTCGCGAAGTGGGGCTCAGCTGGGAACTCGATTTCAGTTCTCCCATTTGGTTGCGGGCAGGGGGCAGTTGTGGATGGGGAGGGGTGTACCAGTGACCAAAGGGCTCCTGAAGGATGTGCGTACCTGGAGTATAGGCGCCCATGGGTTCTGGAGGCGGTGTTTTCTGGCCCTGAATGCGAGGACTGGGGACCCTGAAGAGATCCACCCATGAATGGCGGCCGGCCTGTTCCAGAACCTTGTCCAGCGGCTGATTCATTAACTCAACTGCTTGGAGTCGCTCCTTAAAGCAGTGGCCTAGAGTGTCCCGACAGGAGGCTAGGGCCTGGAGGGGGAGACAAGAGGGAATCTGGAGAGGTGGCTTGAAGTGAGGGCTTGAGACTTGGAGGCTGCAATGCATTTCTGCCTTCAAAGTGACCCTTTGTCTCTCTGCAGCAGAAAGGCCTAATTTCTATGCCCAAGTTCAAACCTCCCTCTGATGATCCCTTTTGGATGCCGCAGCAGAGTTTAATGACAGCTGCTCTTCCCTGAGTGTCAGCTGCTTGAGTTCTGTGTCTAGTTCTGTTCCTGGACCCCAAGAAAGCCTCTAGTCCCCTTTTCTCTGTCTGTAAAATGGAAGGTTACCCATCAACCAGTGGAGTCGACTCCAATTATGGAGACCCTCATGTGTGTCAGAGTAGACCTAGGCTCTATAGTGTTTTTAATAGCTGTTTTTTGGAAGGAAGTAGTTTGCCAGCCCTTTCTTCTGTGATGCGTGAACTGTTTGTACCACCCACTTACAGCTCTCTTCTCCTGTGCCAGCCTCCTTGATCCTCAACGGCTTTCAAGGCTTAGCCTGTCCCCAGCCCCAGCCTCAGGACCTCTCCTCTCTGCTGTTGTCATTGTCAGGAGCCCAGTACTGTCCCTAGAGTCTTCCATCTCCCCTAGGCTCTATCTCATCTGGAACAATCCCGTTCACCCAAATTCTACTTTGTTCATTATAAAGTGAAGCACGTTGCATTCCCTTGACAGTGGTGACAGTCCATAGAGACAGAAAAAGTAGATTAGGAATTGCCAGGAGCAGGGGTGAGATAGCAATGAGGTTTCCTGTTGAGTGATGAAAATGTCTCGGAACTAAGTGGAGCTAATGGTTGCACAACTTTGTGAATGTATTAAATGCCACTGAACTTTACATTTTATGTGATGTGCATTTCACCTCAATAAAAACATGGATCTCTGTGTTTATGTGTTGTTGCTGCTCTTGAGGTGGTGTCTGTCTCATGGTACAATGGAAGAAAACGCTACCTGGCCCTACGCCATCCCCATGATCAATTGCATAGGGAACCATTGGGATCCATGAGATTTTCATTGGCTTGTTTGTGGAAGTAGATCACCAGGTCTTTCTTCCTAGTTCCGCTTAGTCTGAAAGCTCCATTGAAACCTGCTCGGCCCCACAGCCATGTACAAGCAAGGCTCCATGGTCAGACAGTCACTGTGTATGAGCTCTGTTGGCTGGGAATCTTCCGTGATATTTCTACCACGGAACCATTGATACTTTACTTGTCTCCATTAGTACTCTGGTACAGAAATTTTTGTTGCAAAAGCAAGGGACACAGTAAACGTTCATCTCTGGCTGGAGCAGAAAAAGGTGAAGTGTATCTTACAATATAAAGGAGACTCAAGACCAAAAAGCCAAACATATTGCTGCCCCGTCCATCCCAACACATGGCAACCCCAGGTGTTACCGTAGAACTGCTTCCATAGGGTTTTCTTGGCTGCAGTTTTTACAGATAAAGATCTTCAGATTTCTTCAGCAGAGCTGCTGGTTGGGTTTGAACCTTCAATCTTTCAGTGAGTAGTCCAGTGCAAACCAATTTGTGTCACCCAGGAACTTCATAGTCAAGACATTCAAGCTGAAACGTCAGCTTTGCCATTGGCTCACTTTGTGTCTTGGGTGAAGACATCTCTTTTTGAGCCTCAATTTCCCCTTCTCTGAGGAAAGGGTCCTAGTTTCTATTACACAGGAGTGTTTGAAGGAGTTAAATCAATGACTGCACTGAAGTTGGCACAGACTGAGCATCTATGGTTAGTTTAAGACTCAACTTCAGCTCTTGGAAGCTCAGTTTTTCCATTTTACAAAGTGCAAATAAGATGTCAGTTCACAGGGGCCCCTGAGGTAAACCCTTGACGAACAGTCAAAAAGTTGTCGGTTCAAACCCACCTAGAGATATCTAGGAAGAAAGGTCTGGTGGTCGGCTTCTGAAAGGTCACAGTCTTGAAAACCTAAGGAACACAGTTCTATTCTGGGCACAGGGGGGTCAACATGGGTCAGAACACACTCAAAGGCAATGAACAACAACGTATGCAGAGTGCTAGGGGATGCCCCAGCCAGCACCCTCAACTTGATCTCAGATGCTCCCAACCTTAAGTAGGGTCTCTGATTTTTCCATATCTTTCTCCATCTTCCTCTTCATGGCTTTCAGCTCCTCTTCCTCCCATACCAGCATGCTGTCAGCCTTGTCAGGAACCTAAAACAATGAGAAGAGTATCTCTCACCCTCAGGAAATTCCTCCAACCTCATGAACTGTATAGGTTTGGAGTGTTCAATTTGCTCTGTGTCCTCCAGACTTGCTGGAGTTCACAAGTCTGAAAGATTCTAATCCTCCTTGTTTGAATCCCTGGTTAACGCAAAAGGTTAAGCACTTGCTATGATGAGAGCTGAGACTTGGCAGAACTGCCTTGTCTCTCAAGTGTTTGGCCTCTGACAGGGGTGCAGTATTCCCACTTTCTATCACTCTCTATTAGTGGAAAATACCTGAATTTCCCTTCTCTGAAGATTTCTTCCTTACATAAATTCTTTCAGCATTTGCAGATTTTACTGTACTAGCCAAAAGGTTGGTGGTTCAAAGTCACTAAGAGGCAACTCAGAAAACAGACCCGGTGATCTGCTTCTGAAAGGTCACAACTTTGAAGCTCCTGTGGAGGGCACAGCTCTACTCTGCACACATGGGCTTTCCCAACAGATGAGGAATCAATGCCACATCAACTAGCCACAACATTTGACTTCATTGGTATCCACAAACATTTTTTTCTTGTGCACGCATTTTGACTAGTGTATTATTCACTTAGACTAAGGAGCTCTGGTAGTATAGTGATTACAAGTCGAGCTGCTAACCACAAGGTCAGCAGTTCTAAACTACCAGATGTTTCATAGGAGAAAGATGAGGCTTTCTGCTTCCTTAAAGATTTATAGCCTCGGAAACCCTATACAGGGTCATTATGAGTCAGAACCAACTCTACAGCACATCACCACCACCACCAACACCATTCACTTTGACTAACCTATTCACTATGGGGCTGTAGGAGTCAGACTGCAAACCACAAGGAGACTAGTTCAAACCTTCCAGCTGCTCCTCAGAAACCCTATATAGAGCTGCTATGAGTAGGAACCAACTTGATGACACTTAACAGCAACAACAAATTTACTTAGACATTTCAGTTTAGACATTATATAGACCCTTTTAACTAGATAAGACATGCTTTGTACAACCTGATCTCTGCATGAAATATATGATGAAAATGCTGTTTTATCATTCTACCTCTTTACAGCATTTTCATCATATCATCAGCCAAGACAAGGCCAGGGGCAGACTGTGGAACAGACCATCAGTTGCTCATATGCAAATTCAAACTGAAGCTGAAGAAAATGAAAACAAGTTCACAAGAACACAAATATGACCTTGAATAGATTTCACCTGAATTTAGAGATAATCTGAAGAACAGATTTGATACATTACACACTAAAGACTGAAGACCAGAAGAGTTGTGGGATGACATCAAGAACATCATACAGGAAGAAAGCAAAATGGATGTCAGAAGAGACTGTGAAACTTGCTCTCCAGCATAGAGATGCTAAAGCAAATGGAAAAGTGAGACGGTGTAAGAGTTGAACAGAAAATTTCAAAGGTCAGCTCAAGAAGATAAAGTTGATTATTACATATATATTTTTAAATGTGCAAAGACCTGAAGTTAGAAAACCAAAAGGGAAGAACACACTCAACATTTCTCAAGCTGAGGGAACTGAAGAAAAATTCAAACCTTGACTTTCTTTCAAGGATTGAATTTTGAAGGATTCTATGGGCAAAATATTGAATGATGAAGAAGGCATCAAAAGAAGATGGAAGGAAAACAGAGTCAATGTATCAAACAGAAATGGTTGGTGTTCAACGATTTCAAGAGGTAGCATATGATCAAGAGCCAATGATCCTGAAAGAAGAAGTCCAAGGTGCATTGAAGTCATTGGCAAAGTACAAGGCGCTAAGAATTGATGCAATACAAATTGAAATCTTTAAACAAAGTGAAACAGCACTGGAGGTACTCATTCATTTATACCAAGAGATTTGGATGACAACTACCTGGCCAACTGACTTGAAGAGATCTGTATGTGTGCCCATTCCAAAAAGAGGCGACCTAATAGAATGTGGAAATCATCAGACAGCATCATTGATATCCCATGTGAGTGAAGTTTTACTAAAGGTAATACAGAAACTGCTGCAACCATACATTGACAGAGAAATTCTAGAGGTTCAAGTTAGTTTCAGAAGAGGATGTGGAATGAGGAATATCATTGCTGATGTCCAATGGATCTTGACTAAAAGCAGAGAATATCAGAAAGATGTTTACTTGTGCTTTACTGACTATGCAAAGGCTTTTGATTGTATGGATCATGACAAGCTATGGACAACATTGTGAAATATGAGTATTCCTGAACACTTCATGAGGAACAAGTACATAGACCAAGAGGCAATTGTTTGAACAGAACATAGGAACACCGAATGGTTAAAATTAGGAAAGGTGTGTACCAGGGTTGTATTCTTTCACCCTATTTTTTCAGTCTGTATGCTAAACAAATAATCCTATAAACTGGATTATATGAAGAAGAACATGGCATCAGGATGGAAGGAAGCCTCATTAACAACCTGTGATATATGCAGATGACACAACTTTGCTTGCTGAAAGCCAAGAGGACTTAGAATATTTGTTGATGAAGAGCAAAGACCACAGCCTTTGGTATAGGTTGCACCTCAATGTAAAAAAACAAAAATCATCACAATTGGACCAATAAATAACATCCACATAAATGGAGAAAAGATTGAAGCTGTCAATGACTTCATTTTGTTTGGGTCAACCATCAATACTCATGGAAGTAGCAGTCAAGAAATCAAAAGATGTATTCCATTGGGCAAATCTGCTGCACAAGACCTCGTTAAAGTATTGAAGCACAAAGATGTCAGCTTGAGGACTAAGGTACACCTGACCCTTGCCATGGTATTTTCAATAACCTCATATGCATGGGAAAGCTGGATAGTAAATAAGGAAGCATTTGAGTTATGGTGTTGGAGGAGAATATTGAAAGTACCATGGACTGCCAGAAGAACAAACAGATCTGTGTTGGAAGAAGTACAGCCAGAGTGCTCCTTGGAAGACGTCGTCTTTCATGCTTCAGACATATTGTCAGGAGGGATGCGTCACTGGAGACGGATATCATGTTTGGTAAGGTGGAGGGTCAGAGAAAAAGAGGAAGACCCCCAGTGAGATGGGTTGGCAAAGTGGCAGCATCAGTGGGCTCAAATGTAGCATGATTGTGAGGTTGGTCCAGAACCGGGCAGTGTTTCATTGTGTTGTTCATAGGGTTGCTGTGAGTCGGCACCGACTCTCTGGCACCTAACAACAATAACAACTACCTCTTTATCTATTTCTTTTGAAATATAAAATCCCAACTGGTGTTTGTTTGGAGAAGCGCTTCCTAGTTTTTCTGTGACCATGCTACCAATTCATGAATCCTTTTGAAACCAAATAAATTCTTTAATTTTCGCTTTGTCAGGATTTTTTGTTTAACAAGAGCATGGAGTTGGGAGCATCCTCACTCTTTGGGGTCTTCACTTTCTAAGAATAATTTTCTTTTCAGGAAACTCTAGCTTGGGGATCTCTTACCCCTTGGAGAGTGTGCTGAAGGCTTCTTTTCCAAGTAGAAACCCAGTGGTTTTCAATGGAAGTCACTCAATTTGGGGAGGGTTGTTCTCACTCCCTAAGGCCAGGGACTGAAGACCTACGATCCTCTCCCTGCTAGAAGTGGAGGGGGTCTCACCACAAGGATGAGAGTTGTCCTTATGGGCTCCTATGAGGCCTGGTGTGGCGCTGTAGGATAAGCACTGGACTGATAATCATACGGTCAGCAGTTCAAATCTACGGACTGCTCTCAGAAATGCTATACAGAGTTGCTGAGTTGAACCCAACTTGAGGGCACACCACAACTCTCTGAAACTGGGAGCTGGGAGTAGGTGGCCCACCCTATGGGTGTGGTGTCCTTTCTCCCTAGCGGAACTGGAAGGTTCGCATCTTTTTTTTTTCTTAAATGTTTTATTGTGAATTATGTGATAGTTTACATGGGAGAACATTAGTTTTACACTCATTCTATCTTCTCATTGCCATGGTTACAATCCCCTCCATGCAATCCTTCCCCTGTGCCCCCCAGGTCTTCAGCACAAAGTCGCTCTCCCTCTCTGGATCTAAAGAAGGTTCGCATCTTTTGAGGTAAAAGTTGGAAGCTTCTCTTTAAGGGACTCGAACTAGGGACTCACCCTTCCTCTTGCCTGTGCTTAATTTCCAAGTGTGGGGACTGGGGGGGCAGGGGTCCTAGTCTGTAGGCAGCATCTCTTCCTTTCTCCCTGGATGAGGCTGAGAAAGGATTTCCACTTACTTCCTGAGGTTTGTGGGGAAGGGTTGGCTCTTTACGCATAGGGGAAATTTTCATCTGGCTTGGGACCCACTGACTCTCTTCAGCCAATGGCTGTGCGTGTGTGTTCACAGGGATTGAGGATCTCACAACCAAGAGAGGGTCTCACCCTCTGGGTCTGGGGGTTAGAGGTGGGGGTGAAGGCTTTTAGCCTCCTGGATGAGGTACAGGTTTTACTCTTTGGGAAGAATTTCATCTACTATGATTCGGGGTTCCACCCTCTCTGACTGGGAATTGGTGTGTTTCCCCATCAGGTGCTGGTAGTTGAGACTCGAACCCCCTTGAGGCACCTCATCTTGGCGTGTTCTCATCTTGCCCTCAACCACTAGGATTGGGATTTGGGTATATTCAGTCTCCAGGGAAAGTTTTTCCTCCCAGGCTCAGCACCGGGAGCAAAGGCTGGGGAGACGATCCCACCTTCTCGGACTTGGGCCGGTAGTCACGCAGCTTGGCGCTCTGCTGGTTAATGAGCAGGCCTTTGCGCACTTCGCTGAGCCTGCGATCGGTGTCCTGACGCTGGCGCAGCAGCTGCCGAAGCTGTCCATTAATCTGGTTTTGCGCGCGGCACAGGCGTGCGGCGGTGAGGCGCACTCCGCGTGCGTGGGCATGCACCACCTCCGCTGTCTGCTGGGCGCGCGCGTCGCGGTGCAGGGGCAGAGGCAGGCGGGCTTGCCAGGCCGGAGGCTTCATCTTGCTTTTCCATAGCGTGACGCCCTCACCAGGCGGCGGCTGCTCCACCGTGCCACCACCTTTGAGCATCTCCACACGGAAGCGCCACGGCTGGATGTAGGCGGCGCGGCAGAGATGGCGCGCCATGTGAGGGTCCCGCACGCTGTCCTTGGGCTGCCACATGGTCACCGCCTCCTGACCGCAGCGATCGGTCAGCAGGTGCGCCTTCTGCGTAGTGGCCACGGCCGCCTCGCGCCATGCTGGGGCTCCTACGCGCGTGTCCTGACTGCGTTCAGCGGGGGGAATCAACACGGGCATGGTGCTTATCTGAGGGCAAGGACCCCCACGCAGAGGGTCGCTAACACCCACCCACACGGAACTTCTTCCTCGCCCTTCACAGTGAGTGGAACTGAGAGCATCCGTCACCATAGCAACATGGCTAACAACGCAGACAGGGGAGGGGGAGGTTGGGACGTTCCAGACATGGGGGAGGTGTCTTCTCTTTGGAGCCTTGGAGTTCTGGCACCTTGAGAACCGTAATCCCATCAGCATCCTTCTCGCTGTTGCTTCCTACCCTCCAGTTACAAGGGTCTTCTTCATGCGCTTAGGATCCGGAAGCTAATTTCCTGGACTTGGCTGAACTGCAAGGTCAATTTGAGCCTCAAGGTCGGTGGCTCAAACTCACCAGCTGCTCCTCAGAAACCCTATACAGAGTCACCATGAGTGGGAACTGACTCCGCGGCACTTAACATCAACAACATTCCCTCTGTTAAGGGAGCACGGGTGGTTCTGAATAAGCACTGGATGACAAACCACCGGTCGGCGTATGAGCCCACCAGCTGCTCAACTGGAGAAAGATGAGTCTGCTCTTTCAAAGATCACAGCCTATACAAGGTCGCTATGAGATGGAACTGAATCTCGGGCACATAAAAACATTGTTCCCTCTGCAGTTGATGGGTAATACTGCAAGGAATGGAGTCCCGGTGTGGCGCTGTGGGTTAATGCGCCAGACTGCAATGCCGTTTGAACCGCAAGGTCGGCGGTTCAAGCTCAACAGCTGCTCCTTGGAAACCCTATGCAGGGTCACTATGGGTTGGAACCGACTCGGCAGCAGTTAACAACAACAACAACAACTGCAAGGAATGAGAATTCCAGAACACTTAATTGTGCTTATGAGACACCTGTACATAGACCAAGAGGCAGTCATTCGAACAGAACAAGGAGACACTTAATGGTTTAAAATCAGGAAAAATGGGCATCAGGGTTGTATCCTTTCACCATACTTATTCAGTCCGTATGTGGAGCAAATGATTTGTAGAGCTAGATTATATGAAAAACATGGCATCAAGATTGGAAGAAGATTCATTAACAACCCACAGATGACACAACCTTGTTTGATGAAAGCAAGAAGGGCTTGAAATATGGACTGCACCTCAATGTAAAGAAAACAAAAATCCTCACAAACAATAAATAGCATCATGATAAAGGAGAAATGATTGAAGTTGTCAAAGACTATTTTGCTTGGGTCAACCATCAACACTCATGGAAGCAGCCAGTCAAGAAATCAAACAACATATTGCATTAGACAAATCTGCTGCAAAAGACCTCTTTAAAGTATTCAAGAGCAAAAGCTGTCAGTCTGGGGACTAAGGTATATCTGACCCAAGCCATGGTATTTTAATCACCTCATATGCATATGAAAGTTGGACAGTGAATAAGGAAGACCTTAGAAATTGTGGTTTTGACAAAGAATATTAAAAGCACCATGGACTGCCAGAAGAACAAACAAATCTGTCTTTGAAGAAGTACAGCCAGAGTGTTTCTTACAAGAGGGGATGGTGAGACTTTGCCTTGGACATGTGGTCAGCGGGAATTAGTCCCTGGAGAAGGACATCATGATTGGGAAAGTGGAGGGTCAGAGAAAAAGAGAAGGATCACCAACAGATGGATTGCCACAGTGGCAGCAAAGAAAACAATTGTGAGGACCAGGCAGTATTTTCATCTGTTGTGAACAGGGTTGCTATCAGTTGGAACTGATGAGATGGCACTCAACAACAGCAATATTTTCTCTGTAGGAAATACTCCTTTCCATGTTCTCCCTATGGCTTCCCATGGCCAACTTCTTTCCAATCTTCTGAACCCAGCTTCCAAAACACATCCTAAATGTTGTCTTTTGTTACCCTATGCAGGGCTGGGGAACGTCCGGCCCATGGACTGTCTAAGGCCCTTGAAATCATTGGGTCTGGCCCTTTCAAGGCAACCTCAGTTTCAGCTGTCCCATTAGGGGTGAGTTAATTAAATGTTTGACCAAATATAGTTAATTTTTAAATTGATGATTTTGTATGACCGGCAAATAATGTTAATTTTGGCATTCCAAAGGTTCCCCACTCTCCCCATTTCTCCAGACTTTTGTTTTTGTTATTAGTTGTTGTTGAGTGGGTTCCGACCCCCAGTGACCCCATGTGGTACAGAGGAACTCTACTCCACAGGGTTTTCTTAGTGGAAGTGGATTACCCGGACTTTCTTCAGCTGGGTGGGTTCAGACCCACTGATCTTTAGGTTAGTGGTTAAATAAAAACCATCTATGCTACCCAGGGCCCTTTTTCCAGATTTTCAGTTAAAGCTAATACACATTACCCACTGCCATGAAGTCAATTCTGACACATGTATAGGATTTCTAGACTGTAAATCTTTATGGGAGCAGAAATGCTCATCTTTCTCAAGCAAAGCAGCTGGTGGGTTTGAACTGCTGACCTTGCAGCTAGCAGTCCAGTGCTTATCCTGCAGTGCCACAGCCCTCTCCCCCAAAAGACACACGATGGCTCTGAGGACGTCATGGTTACCTTTGTTGAAACTTCAGCTACCATTGCTGACCCTGAAAACTAGCCACCAGAGTCTCCAGGTGGTGCAAATAGTTAACTCTCTTGGCTGCTGATAGGTTAGAGGTTTGAATCCACACAGAGAATCCTCACAGGAAAAGCCTGGTGATTTATGTCTAAAAAAAATCAGCCATTGAAAATCCCATGCAGCACAATTCTACTGTGACACACATGGGATTTGGTGTCTGGCCAATGTACCTCAAACACATCCACCCTATCTCCCATCTGTCAGCGGAGGCTTGCGTGTTTCTAGGATGCTGACCAGGCTTCAATAGAGCTTCCATACTAAGACAGATGAGGAAGGAAGGTCTGGCGATCTACTTCTGAAAATCTGCAACTGATTATGGGGGTAGTCCAGCATTTTGTTCTGTTGTGCATGGGGTCACCATGAGTGGGCGCCAACTCAGTGACAGACCCATGTCAACATATTCCTAAAGAACAAACCACTAGTTAAGAATTGAAATTGGTATGGCCTACTGCCCACTGCTTATTGAAGCTCACGTCTCCTCATTTTATCTTTCAACCCCAGTTCCGTATTATCTATTTGTTGTTGTTGTCAGGTGCCATCGAGTCGGAACCGACTCATAGCGACCCCATGCACAGCAGAACAAAACAATGTCCAATCCTGGGCCAATCTCACTACCGCCGCCACACTTGACACCATCAATGATGCCACCTGGCTGATCCATCTCGTTGGGGGTCTTCCTCTATTTCTCTGACCCTCCACCTTACCCAGCATGACATCCTTCTCCAGCGACTGTTCTCTCCGAACAATGTGTCCAAAGTAGGAGAGATGAAGCTTAACCATTTTGGCCTCCAAGGAGCACTCTGGTTGCACTTCTTCCAAAACAGATCTATTGGTTCTTTTGGCAGTCCATGGCACCCTCAGTATTCTCCTCCAACACCACAACTCAAAGGCATCAATTCTTCTACGATCTTCCTTATTCACTGTCCAGCTTTCGCATCCATATGAGGCTATTGAAAATACCATGGCCTGGGTCAGGCACACCTTAGTCCTCAAGCTGACATCTCTGCTCTTCAACACTTTAAATAAAAAGTTCCTGTGCAGCAGATTTGCCCAGTGCAATACGCCGTCTGATCTCTTGACTGCTACTTCTATATCATCCTCCAAAACTCCACTGTAGCTTTGGTTTTCATTGCCCATTTAGACACTCCTCTCTGGACTGACATGTCTGCTTGCAATTTAGGAATAGGGGAACCCTCTTCCGAGTTGGTTTCAAACCCTCCTGGTTATACCAGGATTGGCAGGTATCTGGAAGGCACCACAGTGCACGAGCCAGCTCACACAACCAGGGTCAGAAGGAGACAACGCAGCTTTAGAAAGAAAACACAGACACAAGTTACAGCTTAAGAGAGACAGCAGGACTCGTGATCTCTAGGCTCAAGAGCCCCAAGATAAAGCATGTCTCAGTATTTACTAGCTTCTGCATTCCACGAAACCTCCTGGGAAAGCATATATCAAAAAGATATCGGAGACAATTTGATTGTTTAGGCCAGTAACATTTACTGGTAGCGTAGTGGTTATGAATTGGGCTGTGAACCGCAAGGTCAGCAGTTTGAAACTACCAGCTGTTCTGCAGGAGAAAGATAAGGCTTTCTGCTCCCGTAAAGATTTACAGCCCCGGAAACCCTAAACAGGGTCACTATGAGTTGGAACCGACTCCACGGCACACAACAACAACAACAACATTTACTGGTATATACATCCTCAAAAACAGACCCATTAACTAATGGGTTAGCTTTCATTAACCGAGAACGGCACACTAAGACTGAGTAAACACATCTGGGCATTGCGTTCTACATCAGTGTACCCACATAGTACACTTGTCATGAGTCACTAGCAGTGTGCCGCTTCCTCATGCCTTTGTCCAGACATAATTCCTTTCCTCATGGCTAGTTCTTGGGTGGTCTCCAACACCACAGAAGGGCTGTGACCTGCTCTCAGTTTCCAAGAAGTTTCACTGTGTGTGGCTGAACTAAAATGACAAAAATTTCAAAATACTTGTTGTCGGTAAGTTCCTGCTAGTTGGTTCCAACTCAGTGACCCTGAATAGGGTTTCCGAGGAGTGTTTGGTGGGTTTGAACCTCTGGCCTTGTAGTTAGCAGTCTAGTATAAGGATATTTAAACCCCTGGGCTTCACTGCTGTTGTAGCCCAAATATCTCTCTTAAACTAACAAACACTTTTGTTTTTATGTTGTGAAAGTATTGTAAGCATGTTGTAAAATAAAGAAAAACACAATGAAGAGACGAATAATCATCTGTAATTTTAAGATCTAGAGAGGTATCTAGCCTGTCTGGTCTTGATTTTTCTCTACACTACTGTCTCTGTCTCACTCTTCCCATTATGTAGGTACACAAATGCACACACAAACATATGCTTATGAATAGATATACTGTTGTTAGTTGCCATTGAGTTG